ATCATTCAATTAGCCATCAAGTTATCAAGCAAGCCATGGAACCAGGGCTGTCAATCATTCAACCAGCCATCAAGCCAATTATTCGTAAGCTAGTCTAGGCATTTAGCCATCCATCTAGCCATCCATCCATCCAAAATTTCACCCATTCGTTCATTAAGCTATTCATTTATCAAGAAATCCATGCATCAGGTCATCCATCCATGCATCTTTTGTCCACCTATGTATCTAGCCATTCATCCAAGCAGCCACCCGTCTATCAAAAACAATCCATCCATATATCCGTTCAGCCATCCATCCATCAATTAGGCCTTTCAGTTATCAAGCAATCGATCTATCCTTCCAGTTAAGTAACCATTCATTTAGCCAACCATCAATTTAAAAGTTCATTCATCCAGTCCCATCCATCCATCAAGCCATTCACTGTCATAATTTATCCAACCAACCATTTAACCATCCTTACATCTAGCCATTTATTCAGCAAACCGGCAAATCATCTATTCTGCTATTCATCGATCCATTCATCCAACCAGCTATCCATTCATCAAGCAACCCATTCAGTCAGATAACCAACCAGTCGACCATCCATCTTTCCCGCCATCTAATCTTCAATCCATTCAGCCTTCCATCAATTCCGCTCTCTATGTAACCATCCACCATCCCATCTAACCATTCATCTATCTGTCCAGCCAATCGTCTATCTAACCATCCAATTAACCAGCCATCCATTCACCCAAGCAGCCTTCCATCAATTCAGCTATCACTCAAGCCATCCCTTACTCAAATCAGCGATCCCTCCAGCCAGTCATCCACTCGTTAATCCAACCGGACACCCACGCATCCATGGATCCCTCCAGCTGTCTAGTCCATCTCCACACTCCCGTGCTTCCACGCAACCGTTCATTCAGTTAGCCACCATCCAGCTATCCATCGATTGATGCATGCAATCTGTCATCCGTCCGTCCATCCAACTACTCATGAAGACATCCATTTATCTAGCGATCCCTTCATCCTGCCTTCCATCAACCCAGTCAACCAGCGCTCTATCTATCAATCGAGACCTGCACCTATCCTGCTATCTATACATCCATCCAACGATCTACTCATCTGCCAGTCATCAATCATCCGGCAGTCCATCCATTTGTTCAGCCAGTCATCCATCCATCCAACCATTCATCATCTAGATATCTATCCGTCTTGTGTCAATCCATGCATCCATCTAGCCATCCATGCATCCCTCCAGCAATTCATGTCAACCATCATTGATCTAATCATCTTCCAACCAGCTTATCCAACCAGTGATCTAGCCATCATCCAACCAGTCATCCATCATCGATCTAGCCATCATCCAACCAGCGATCTAGCCATCATCCCACCAGCCAGCCATGTCATCCATCATCGACCAGTCATCCATCATCAATTCAGCCATCCATCGAACCCGTCGTCCATCGTGCCATCCATACATCCAGCCAGTCGTCCTTTTATCCAGTGATCACCCAAGCCATCGATCCTTTCAACCAGCCGTCTAGCCATCCAGCTAGACAGCCATCCATGCGTTCATCCAACTATCCATTCTCCCTTCAATCCATTCATTCATTAAGCCATTCCTACAACCAGCTAACCATCCATCCATCTAACTCAAAGGATATCGTTTTTAATGAGCAGCTTCGCTGCAGTGGGCCTACTAGTTTCAGTGCAAAATGTTTTAGTTATATCCTTTTTTGAAACCGCATTCGTAGCTGCCTTATATATAAACAAAAATTTACGTGCATGTCGAGACCAAGTTACCATGACTAAGTGATAAAAGCACGACACTCCTAGTCTGAAGGACTCCTAATTCGAATCTCAAAGTCATTTTTTCAAGTTTTTTATGATATATCTATTCTCGCATTTTGCCGTTTTTCGAGCTCTTTTTTGCCCATTTTGGCACGTTTCCGTTAAATGCAACGTCCTTTTTTGTATAAATTTATTTGAGAGGAAGGGGAGAAACTTCAAACGGCCAGTTTAATTATCATAGACGAAATAAAACTGTGGGTCTTTGCAGTAAATCTTTTTCTATGCGATACTGTTGAAAAGAAGATACAAAAGTAATTATCAGTTTTTTGAAGTGGAAGAAAAATCAGGCGTCTGATCCAGGCGTTTCTCAATCTTTTACTTATGAACTGAAAAAGGATATTGTTGCGCTTGCTGTAACTATTGATTAAAGTTAGTGGTTCCGCCTTTTGGAATCGAAGGTGTCCAAGTGTTGCGCGATCATATTCCGAGATGGTAATGTTGCAGATGTAATTTTCGTTGAAGTATCCTTGATATTTTGGTCACATTCTTTGCTCATAAGTGAAGTTCATTAGTGTGTAGTGTGTTCATTAGTGTTTGCCAGTGCCCATGTTTCTATATCACAACGGTTTGGGCGTAAATTCTGTTTTTAAAAACGCAATAAAAAGGAAACCTAACGCAGTCCTCATTTTACCATCTTAGATATGAGCTTCTCAATCAAGGTTTTTAAACTGATTGAAAACGAAATATATCGTTTTTCAATTTTTCAAACACTTGAATGTTTTCTGTAAATCTTGGGGATCTATTTAACAATTAACCCCGTTTCAAGTAATGGGGGGGGGGGATTGTTGAGTAAATTAAGTAAATAGAATTTTCTGCCAATCAGAATGCAGCAAAATTCGAAGTTTACATAGAACGCTCTAGTGCTAGTTTTCTGCTTTTATTTCTTTATTAGATGCTTCACTGCTTTTATTTTCGAGTTTTTCGAATTGGTTTCCGTATACTTCAGCAAGTCCTTTTCTGTATTTTTCGGGCAATTCATGGTTTCATGTCGATAACTTCGATCAATGAACTCATAATGGCTATCTCAATTCTGCAGTTTAAATATATGCCAATAAAATCTCCATTTCTTTGACAGTTTTGAGCTTCGTTACTAAGTGGCTGTTCCGTTATTAAGCTGCTGCGTGTTTTGTTTCTGTGTTCATTTAGGGGAAGTTGTTTACGAAAAATACCAGCAGTATTACTGGCGGCGAATCTATTATATATTTAAATGCGGGCTTCACTATCTCGCCATGTTTAAGCTTTTTCAACGTATTATTTTTGCATGTTTAAGCTATATCGTATATTGCAATGGTTAAGAATTTTTGTCGATTTTCTAATTTGTTTTAGTGGTTATTTAACCGAGTTTAAATTAAGCAGCCCAATATCGATTTAGGGGTTGTGAATTTGGCCTCCAATTTTGAATGCCTGAATCATTTTAGTTAACGAGATAAGACGATTTTTGAGGTTTTTTCAAAAATGTTCAGAAGTTTCAAATACAAAAATAATTTACAAAACTTGAAGTTCCCAACCATGTAGTTGGGTGCTGTCAGAGTATTATCAAGGATTGCGAGTCTTGCCTCCAAATATGACTAGTCAAATCCTTGTATTTTTCGAGCTATGACGTTTTTTGTGATTTTTTTCAAAAATTTTCAGAAAACTTAAATTATTATGATTTTTGAAAATTTGAAATTCGCAACCCTGTAGTTGGGTACTGTCAGAGTACTATCAAAGATTGCGATTCTTGCCTCTAAATATGACTGCTCAAATCCTTGTAGTTTTCGAGATATGATGTGTTTTGTGATTTTTTCAAAATGTTTTAGAAAAATTATATTTAATTTTTTTCGCAAAATCTGAAATTCCCAACCCTGTAGTTGGGCCCTGTCAGAGTACTTTCAAATATTGCGAATCTTGCCTCCAAGTATGACTGCTCATTTTTTTGTATTTTTCGCTCGAGATATGACGTTTTCTTTGTGATTTTTTCAAAAATTTTCAGAAACTTAAATTATTATGATTTTTTAAAATTTGAAATTCCCAACCCTGTAGTTGGTGTACTGTCAGAGTACTCTAAGGAGTAACAAATCTTGCCTCCAAATATGACTGTTCAAATCCTTGTAGTTTTCGAGATATGACGTTTTTTGTGATTTTTCAAAAATTTTCAGAAAACTTAAATTATTGTTTTTTTTTTTGAATCTGAAATTCCCAACCCTGTAGTTAGGTCTTGTATGAGTACTCTCAAGGATTGCGAATCTTGCCTCCAAATACGACCGCTCAATTCTTTGTAGTTTTCGAGATGTGACGTTTTTTGTGATTTTTTCAAAATTTTCAGAAAGTTTAAATTAATTTTTTTTGCTTCAAAATTTGAAATTCCCAACGCTATAGTTCGGTGTTGTCAGGGTACTCTAAAGAGTTACAAATCTTGCCACATGTGACTGCTAAACGCGACTGCTCAAATGCTTTTATTTTCCGAGATGTGAAGTTTTTTGATTTTTTCAAAATTTCTACAAAGAACTTATCTACAAAGAAATTCAAAAAATTTGAAACTACCAACTCGATGAAGATACAACCTTATTGTCAGCGTCACCCGGGCGTCTCAAATCTTGCCTCTTAATATGAATGCTCAAATCCTTTCAGTTTCCGAGATAAGATTTTTTTTCAATTTTTTTTTCGGGAAGCTTAGGTTTAAAAAAATTCACAAAATTTTGAATTCCTAACCCTATAGTAGGGTGCTCTCAGGGACTCTCAGTGGTTGCAAATCTGGCCTCCCACTTTCTCCAGAGGCCCATTAAGTTTTCGAGATGACGCTTTTAAAATGGGAATTTAAAAAAATAAAAAGTTCGAAATTACCAACCATGTAATTTGGTGCAGTCAGAGTACACTAAAAGTTTGCAGATGTTGTTTCCAATATATGCGGTGTTTCATGAGTTGTCGAAAAGTTTCGAGGCACCGGAGGTGCGTTAAACGCTAGTCCTATTTAAATCGAACTGGTAAGTATATCGAAGGGCTGTACACAAGGCCGTGCGGTTAATGTACTATAAAAAGTCAATTGTACTGAGCGGATCCAAGGTGTTTATATCACGTTAACCTTCATTTGCCCATGAAATAATGCGAAAACGATAAAGATTGTTTTCATAGTGGTTTGAACGAAATAGTTATTTTTTAAATTTTAAACCCAAAGGGAAATATGTCTTTTTTTAAGTAATTGGTTTTTAGTTTGGTTGGTTCCAGATTTATTGCATGTTGAATAGTCAGGCGGTTAAGGAGCTCTCAGACATAAAAGAGAGAGTTAAGCATAATGTGCATTTCGCCGAAGTGCAGAAGTACCACGACAATGTACTGTGGGTCACAATAAGTCGAACTCCCAGAGTGACTTTAGACTGTACCATTCTGTTCACTGAATACTACCCCCAAGACCCACTCATAATTCAACTGAAGAGTAAAACGCTGTCTGATGAGCTGCTGAAAGGACTGGTCAAATTATTGGACGAGAACTGCAAAAAGTATGTTGGTCAGTACCAGGTGGTGATACAGATGAAGTTTCTCTCCGACTATTTAGTGGACAATCTGTTCTGCTGTTGCTTTGACGAGTTTCAGAAAATCAAACGAGAAGTCTGTTCAGATTTCGTGGAGTTGAAACCGAAACAAAAGAAAGGCGTCGCGCAGTTTAAGATAAAATGCAGAGGGCATCAATCTTTGGTAAAAATAACAGTGCCAGTTAACTATCCAAATGAAGCAGTTGCCATTGATCTGAAAGAATTTGAATCAACCTTACCCCAGTATTTGACAAATCCGATTTTGAAGCAAGCAGTCGAAGAGGTGAGGAAATGCGTGGAACCACCTTTGAATTTGAAACTCCTGAAAGGCAAACCTTTTGAAATTAAGCCCTCGTTTTATCACGTAGTGAAGTTTCTAATAGTGGACAGCTTGCTTTTGTTCAAACAAACAGAGTGCAAATTATGCGGTGAGCCGGCTTTTCCGGACAACCCAAATGAAGTGCGAACATATGAGAGGGATCCGATGTATGTGGAAAGAGTCTATTGTGGACATATCTTTCACTTCGGCTGCTTGCACAAATTAATCAACACTCCTCCTTTCAACGAGAACAAGCAGTGTCCAGTTTGTAAATTGACAATATACCACGAGAGGTGGAAAGAGACGCCCCAGGTGTTGGCAGACAGGTGGGCACACAAACAGGCCAAGCAGAGAGAGCTGGAGGAGGTGATAGACTTCCTCCAGTAGACCACATCAAGTTTCATTCATCATCGCCAATGAACTTATTAGACTCCACTGCTTCTGGCTACAATTTTCAGCTACTCTTATTAGTTTCAGTGTCCTATCAAATGAAATTTAATGTATATCAAAAGTGGTTTCAATTGCAGTGGACCTTTTTCGAGCATGTCCTCTTCAGTTTTAAAAATGATGTATGGAGATAACCGTCCATGTGAGGATTGAAGAATGTCCTCTAAGAATCCAATGAATCCACGCTTGGGAAAAAATTACAATTTTTCAATTTTAAAATAAATTCATCGTTAAAATAAATTTTTATCAAATTCTTGTATCTCGTGGATTGGATAAAAACGGTCTACTCGCACACTAACCGTCTACCCTTAAAGTTTATGGACATGCAAGAAAGAAAACGGAACAAAAAAAATTCTCTGGATATTGCTAATGAAAAGTGATACATTTTTTCATGTGTGTAATCCATGAATTTTTGATAAACAACAGCAAAAAGACACAATTTAACAATCGGATGCAACCTCCAAATTTTTGAGGTACTGTACTATTTATCGGCGAACATAATTTGCGAAACAGATGAAATAGCTTCATTTTTCCAAAACTAAGCTTTCCAATGAGTTTAATCACTGCCTATTTCACCAATTTTTTGTACAACTTTGCTATTAAAGGTGTGTGATCGGGATAATTAAATGCAATCTACAACAATTTTAAGTGCCAATGAACGCAGCTGACTTTTGATACCTTTTGAAGTTCTATTCAAATTCATTTTGTAGAGTGAAGGCAAGTTAACCTCACCATTTTTAAGATTCAATGAACGTAGCGCAGACTCTTATATAAGGTCATGATGTTTTTTCTCGTTTTTTGCTCAGGAGTAGTCTTAAAATTTGTTCGGGCACAAGTTTACTTTTTGCGTTTTGACTTTCGATTGCTCGCCAAGCTTAAATAAATCATCATCATAGAGAAATGCACAAAACAGCGTGTGAAAGTTTGAAATTCTTACTACCTCAAAAGGTAGAAATAAGTAATGAGTAAAAAAATAATATGATGCATCAGTGTTTTAGGTGGCTGGCCATTATTAAGTAAGCTTCATTTTTAAAGCTTGAAGCGGGCTATTAAGTATACGTCCTCCGTTTTCGTGACCGACCAGCTCTGATTCAATATACCCAAGACGCGACTACGTAAAAGAAATATTTCGCAACTCGAACAAGCGGTTGTTATTTGAGTTGCTAAAAAATGCTGATGCGGTTTTAAAGTAGAAACAAAAATATAATAACTATATGGGACTTCACACCGTATCTGAAAAATAAACCGAAATTGCAAGCTGAACAAACATCAGTGCTTTTCCGTTTTTTTTTTGATCCACGCAAATACGGGTATCACAAGAAGACATGATGTGGAACCAACTTTCAAATGGAGCCAAAAACCTTTGTATCCAAGCAAATATAGGCAAATCGGCGATATTCGAGCTAAAATTTAAAAAAAATTCTGACTATCGCGAAAAAACGGTGTACATTTTTCCTTATCAGGCCAATTCAGATGGAAGTTTTTTACCCAAGTGAGTTACACTTTTACGCAAGTGAGTAGATAAGTGTACAAATTTGTTTTCGTTATTGTAGTAACTAGTTCATGGAAGTTCTTGATGCTATCTCCTTCCCCTCAAATAGTCCGTATAAATATGTTATCGGCCATATAGTTTTGTTATTGGCCATTTTAAAGAGTCGATGAACGTAAATCAGACTCCCATATTAGTCACGATGATTTTTTTCCGTCACGATGTTCAGGCGCAATTTTACTTTTTGCGGTTTGACTTTTGATTTTTTTTTGAATTCAGTTTATTTCTTTTGTTGAAAAGAAGGCAATTTTCAGTATCGAGCGCAGAAAAAAGGTAAAGATTCCGAAAAATGTGATCAACTTCAAGTTTCAAAAATAAGGCTTATTTTTTCATTTTCAGGTATCCCCTGCAAAATAATTTTTTTATTCAATTTTCTCAAATTGGGTTAGTTTTTGTTAAAAATGTTTATCATAAATCATAAGCGAAGAAACATGTATTATTTTAGGAATCTATGTCGGATTTTCACATTTGTAATAGCAAGTGTTGTGCTACCGGGTACTAGATCTTCTTTTCCGTAAAAGTCTTTGTTCACAAGATTCATATGGTTTCTGTTGTAAATATGGCAACATTTTTATTTTCAGCAATTTAAAAATCCGTTCTTTTTAAAATTTGTGTTCTATGTTGATTGTAATTTTGTCAGCTCGATTGTTAAAATTTTTTTCTGGTTTTTTAGTTCGGCTAAATAGATATTGGCCTGTCAAAATTCGGCTCCGTCGCGACATTTTGAGTTGTTTGATGACTGAAAAAAAAAGGTTTTTTGAGCGTGTGTGTGTGCTTTGAGGGGAGGTGTCTTGAACGTTTTTCATTGTTTTTTTCTTGCTTGGTATGTTTTTCAAAGATGCAAATTATATATGTATTATATTGTGGGGGCGTGTTTTCTTTCAAAACTAGTCTTTCTCGTTTGTTGATAGCTCAAGTTTTTTATATTTTTCTTTACTATCCTCGACTGCAGAATAGAAAAAGATGTCTAAATGCTTCTTAAATTAACATTTTGAGAGCGAGTGTCTCGTGATGGGGACATATTTTTTCCCGTGAAGAACCTTGCTTGTAAATATACAGAAAAATGAACTTGCTTCACTACAATTTATAGGTTCCTTTCCACTTGTTCTAAAAGTAAAGTGATAGTCTTTGCACCCTAAGCTTCAGGGTGCAAGTCCCTGTTGGAACTTGATTTTTCCAGTATAATTGAAAAATTGAAAAGTTGCACTTTCATTTGTTTGTTTTTTTGTTGGCTTGATTTCCAACGTTGGGAGTTTTTTTAAATCTAAACAACTCTTACTATAATTGACAGTCGTATTTGTTTTCGTCAATTTACCAATTCTGAATCAGAATTATTGTGATTTATTTGCTATAATAAAAGTTTTGATTTATATATTTCGAATACGCATTTTTTCTGACTTTTCTCAGGCAAACCTTGATTATAATTTTATTAAATTTTGAGGTTAATTTTAAAAGTATTTCAGATTTAAAAAATTCAAGTTTTAATACTTAATTCCAGAAAAATGCGTTTAACATTTTTTATGATTTTTTTGCTTTCGAACTGTTCTGTGCTGGTGGTTGTTTCTTGAGGCTGTATTTCTGTTTTGAAAAAGTCTATTTATAAATTCTCAAATAGGGACTCAAATAAATTCTCTATTATCAAATGGGACTATTAATAAATTCGACTTGTATTATCAAATGGGACCATAAGTCTTTTTTTTCAAGTTAAAAATTTTCAAAATATTGTTGCGTTAGTTTCAATCAACAAAGGTGAAGATAAGAAATTAAAGCGTGCAATTGTCTTAGCAAAGCCCTAAAACAGGTGATCTCATAATTCATGTGCTATTTCCTCTACCATCTCAAATTCTTGTGCCATTTTTGGAACCAATTATTTTTCAGTCATAATAAGTTCATTGAGGATAAAACTGTCTGAAAAACGATCCGATTTTTCTAAGAGTTGATGCTTGTAGTTCAGACACAATAGGTCGTGATGACTTTTTTTCGAAAATCCTACTCTAATATACTACAGAATTAGCATTCACCGGGAAGTCTAAAAGTTAAATTACAGTTTTTCTAACACTTCAGTTTTCTCAATGTGAGTTAGTTTTTATCAAACAAGTGACTATCATAAATTGTTCTTGAAATTCGAAAAATTCTAAGGCCATATATTTTTTTCTTTAAAGCTCGAAAGCCAGTTTGTCAGTTTTTTTTCTGTGCGTTCCATGTCTCTCTTTCCAAAAGTCTGTGGGCTATGTTTTGATTTTTATTCCAATTCATATCTTTAGTACACTTGTGAGCTAGCAAGCGTAGTTTTTAAGAATTATTCTGTTTTTTTTTCGAACCTAATTCGCAAAATTAAGTGCCTTTTTTTCCAATGTTTTGAAAAATAGGTAGGAACTTTGTATTCGGGTCTGTTTAAATTTTTTCTTTTTTTATTTGTAAATTCGATTGTATCAAAACAAACGCAATTTCAAATTTTTACTTTCAAAATTGCCTATTTCAAGCATCAGTGTGGACAAGCTTACTAATAAGTTTAACAAAACTATCAGTTTAACATCAGCCTCGACCAAATTATCTCAGTTACCTTCTATGAAAAAATCACTAGTTGAATGTAATCTTTTACCAGTTTATCATTTTATCCAGGTCTAAAAGTGGCAGTTTTTTACTATATGCGATAAAATTTACAATGGCCTGAAACTGTAATCAATTATTTTTTTTACTGGAAATGTTCCACTTTGCATAAACAATGGTTTTTTTATTACTCCGCTTGTCCTAGAAAGCGTTCACTATAATAAAAGATTTATTGAAGATGGTGAAAACTGGCCTTTTCAGACCCAGATAATTTTTTGAGTGCTTGGAACCAATCATTAATGCTTTGGACGGTAAATGAGATCATTTGATGACGGTCAATATAAAATTTCAGCTAATCTTAGTGAACAAATTCCTCATTAAAGAAAACTCAAATTATTAAAGACGCAGTGTTTTCTTAACTAGTGGACAAAATTAAACGCAAAATCACGTTTTTTTTCTCTCTAAAACGCCTAATTTCAAGGACCATATAGGACACTATTTAATAAAATTCCCAATTTTTTCTACATCAATTGATTGCAAATGATCTGAACTTCCCTCTCTGAAAGTCTCAATTTTTAAATTGAAACGCTTACCAGTTTTTTGAGTCTCAAAATAACAATTTTCACTATTTGTGATAAGTTTTCTATGGGAGTGAAAACTTTTTCGAATAAGTGGAAAAGACAAATTTGATCAAGCGGTGTGAAATTTTTTTAACAAGAAACTTGCATTGTTCGGTGTTACACCTTTCCTCAGCTTTTTTTAAAAATATTTTGTCCCAGCTTCGGAAAACTTATTACAAATGCTGAAAACTGGCAGGTTCAAACCCGGAACTGGTTCGTGATTTAAATCAAAATAGAGTATTTCATTAAAGATATTTCAGATAATTTCTTATTAAGTGGTGTCTAAATTGTTCCTTAAAAGTATGCGCTTTAGAGAAAAAAACCTGAGCTTGCGTTTTTAATTTT